ACTTTTTTAAATAAGGAAATAGTCAATTTCTAATTTATTTTAAAAAATTGTTACTAAAATAATTGAATCTTCTATCTGTAAAGTAGAAATTACAAAGAATATTCATCTTTATATATATAAATATATATACTGAAAAAATAATTGTATGCAGACAAAATAAATTTCTTTTATTGGTTTTACAACAATGATTGAAAAAAGAAGAAGAAAGATTTTAATTAAAATATTCTTATTTCTTATGAAAACAAGTCAATGATTGATAACATTAATGCTGTCTTACTTTAAGTATATTAATTAAATAGATATTTTATAGAAAAAAACACAAAAGATCTAATATAACAGAATATACTACGTTCTATTTGACCAAGTTGAAAGAAACAAGAGAAATAAATAAATAAATAAATTATAACTAATCTTAATCTTTATAGAAGCATAGTCTTTATTACACAATAATAAAAAAATCCACTAATAAATAAAAGGGTCAATATATCCAAAAATCCATTTTGAAAAGCCATAGTACAAAAGCCTTACAAAGGTCAATTGCTTATAAAGAGGAAAATTCTTTTAGAAGCTATGGCTTTTAGAGTTAATACACGGTCGTAAGAGACCATAAGATGAATCAAAATATTATTTTATTATAAGCCTCAACGTGTGTCTTTATTTATAAATTCTAAAAATTGTAATATATATCGTTTATATGTTTTATATTACTCAAAAAAACTATGAGTTTTTGACAAAATTTCTCTAAATTTCTCTAAAACTCACTTGAGGTAGATCTACTGCAAATTTTAGGACACAACAATATTCATGCCATGAAAGAAAAATAGTATATTCTAATCTTGTCATCTTAAAGCCTTTGCCCTGATTTTTCTTAACACAAAACATACCAACTAAATACTACATCTTAATATCAGCCAACAAAAGAATAAAAAATACCATAACCTTGCAACTTCTTTCCAGAATATAAAAAACCCCTTTCACAATAGTTTCAAAAAAGATACAACTCCATATTTGACAACTCCACACCAACTTGCAACTTGCAAGACACTCTACCAATTCTTTAACAAGCATGGAAAGTGGGTTTTTTTTTTGTTTTTTTGTTTTTTTGTTTTTTTGAATGTTTGATGATTGATGATCACCATCCTCATGCAACCAAAGCCTCCACCTTTGATCCGGTTGTTGCTGAAGGGTGATTGCGGATTACATCTTTCGACGTGTTGCGGAAGCGCCCTGGCGAGGTCGAAATTCCTGTGTAGATTGTGGCAGAGACTGACACCACTTGACCCATTTTGTCGTTGTCGTCGTCGTCGGCTTTTACAGTGGGCTACTTTCCCAGCGCAGCATCCAAAGGAGATTGCGAATAAGGGCCAGGTGCCAGGGATCCGGGCCCTGCATGTCGCGTGCCTCGCCGCGTGATGCTCAAGCATTGCGTTAAATGCATCCCGCGTTGCTGGTCGGAGCCATGGGTGTCGCGGATTAGAGAGCCTCATGTCATGGACTTTGAGGTCCTGGATACAGCGCCTCTTCTTCTCCGACGTCATACACTAATACATGATGAAATGAGGAATTTTTTGCCACAATGTCGCCACCCACCCACCTACCCACAATGTAGACTATTGGTGATAGTATACTTGACTTTGCCGAAGACTAGTCTGGGTTTTTTACCTTCAGGTTTTGATGGTATTGCTTGCCAGATCGTTCGATAAGTTGGACGTTAACGTGGGTAGCATTCATGTTGCAAGACCAGAGAAGGTGGGGGGCGTTTTATTGGCGGACTTGGAGAGAATCTTTGCTGGAGGCCAGCAGGCTGGCTCTGTGCAGATGGATAGGTTGTTGGTGATCGGATGCAGGTCAACAAAGAGCTTCTTCTAGAACGAAGTTCATCGTCTTGGCTGCACCCGTTTTGTGTAGTACACAGCACTAGGAGTGAGCCAAATACAGCTTACGGTCCCCACCCATGGCTGTCCTTGTGTACAGCCTCGTCGTCGTCGTCTTTATAATTAAGATTGTTTCGGATGCATGAGGACTTGTCTAATTTTGGACCAGTAGGAGATTTCTCAAATGGGAGTGAAAATTTTAGACCATTGGCGGGGGCCGAATTTTGCCGGACACGGCACCCCCTAGCTCCGATCATGTCCATCAAAGCAGTACATTCTAGGTCAAAGTCTGCTACGAACCCCGCCTTTGATATTGAATTTCTTCAGGAGGAAAAGGTTGCTCTGGAGACCTGGGCTGACAACCTTCTACTGTTACTGTAGTATAGCGTGGAAAAAACTTCGTGACAAACGAAGAGGCACTTGTCTCTTGCCGTGTCCGGAGGTGAGGACAGTCTCGCTGTACGAGTTTAGATTTTTTTGGACAGCCACAGGCCCCGACCGGCTCGTAAAAATTGATTGAGCAGATGGTACAGATTGAATGTAGGGATCGAAGAAGGGACCGAAACGCGTCAATGGAAGTGCATTCATGGGCGCCGCAAGTTTTGGGACTGATAGTTCATTACTGGAGATCCCTCCCCGTCTTGGAGGTCTAAAAACTCTGCACCCCTGTCAAATGCTTTGTTTTGCAACCTGTCGTCAGCTGGTGGTTTACTCCAGGTCCCACGGATTTCATTGATATGCAAAAAATAAAATAAAATAATAAACCCGTTGCTCACTAAATCCTCTAACCTACGTTTCGCATTCAGCCCGTCTGCATATCCGAATGATTGTTGTGTTAAGATTATGATATCAATGGTAATATAAAGCTCTCTCGAGGAATGGTCCAAGAGAAGGGAACCTATCAACGCACTCCTCTAGGAGATAGTAGCAATTGGAAGCTAGATTCTGGAGCTACATCTTCTAGAAAGTGAAGGACATTGGATTGTTGCTGTGCATCAGCTTTTGGCGATCACGGCAGATAACTGCAGGTTATGTTCCAATTACCCCAACTCTTAAATCAGGACTTAATGCATAATTGATCTGCATTTCAGTTTCGACTTTCCTGGCATTAAATATATCTCATTGCATTGCAAGGGTAGAGACAAGCCGCCAGAGGAAACCTCTGAAACTACTAAAACACAGCCTCTCATAATGAAAACATCTCTGCGCTATTAAGATTGGAAATAACAGTTTCAGCACTGATGTCATGCAATATACTGGACACTGTTGTTTGCAAGAGACGCCGATGTGATAGCTATGGTGCTATTTTTTTCGCGCAGCACCAGTGATGGACATGAGAACGCAGTCGCCATTTAGGACAAAATCCGGCAGCTCAAAAGATCAGTCACAAGTAGTGACCTCTAAGATATAAGGTGAAAGGAAAGAAATGAGTACAGCCGTGGCATTCACATCCTCCCAATTATTTGCAATTCTTTACACACGAACTCACGATGATAAATGTCCTACTGAAAGCAATAAATTTTAATGGCAGCTATGAATCGCAATGATTCGCTCCCCCTCCTAAGATATCCCGACTGTGATCCAACTTTCAATGTGGCGTTCCCCAACCCCTTTCGAGCCTGGAAAGCTGCACTCAGTATATAATATTTAAACAACTATGCCCCTGTTATTGAATACCCGCAACCATCCAGCGTTGAATCGTCGAGCAAGTCCTTTGTTGATGGTGCTCGATCGCGTCCTACAGGCTGGCATAGCTTGAATGATTCAATCATGGTTGCGCATAAAACATAAATCTTCTAAACCGCTATTTTGATGGTATGTCTTTGATGGAGAAGTGTACTCTATAGCTTCAGTACCTCACAAGGTTCTGCAGGTTTGAACACTCGTATAATCGAAGGGACTTAGTCTCTGGGTTCACTATTCTACAGCTCAGAACCCCGTCAGTCGGTGAACGTGTCTCCTAAATCAAATACTTTGGATTGCTCAGCGAAAACTCCGGTTGGAACTGCAATCAAGCCGACTGAGTAACCTTGCGGTGAGAATAGCCTTTCCCAAAAGCCATCTCATAGAGTATTTCAATCATGCGGCCAGAATAATGAGAGTAATTATAATGGTAGTAGTACTAAGACTAACAATAATTTGCATGAAAGTTTGCGCAGAGTCGAAGTCACCGACGCAATGGAAACAAGGGAGGGCAAGTTTGAGATCGGCGGCGCCGGGGCAGATATCTGTTCCTGTTGATGAAGCAGAGAAATACGGTTTCTAATTGAAGAGGAAGAAGGCGGTCGCAGCACAAGCTGAACACGTCACAGAATAACCCTGAAAAGCAACCTCTAGTGTCCGTTCGCTAAACCTCCTCCTCCTGGATGCCGAACCAAGCTACTAAGCCTAATTGTGAAGCGGATTGGGTCCTGTCGGAACGACACGTTTGGAATATCCCCACAGGGTACGATCCCGCAGTCTATGCGAAGGTGGCGGCTTCGCCTCCATATCCCACATCGCATCGTCCCCATCCCCATCTCCGAAGCGACCAGTAGAAAAAGGTTTCACGCGCTGCGGTAACAGTTCTGGCTCGACAAAGACCTGCACAGACTCAGGCGTCGTCAACTTCCTGGGCTGTTCTGAGGCGGCCTCCACTAGTCGCGCCGAATCCACCACCACCACTACCACGGCACTCAAGCTCAGAATCAGCAACCCCAATACTACTACCGATCGAGTCTCACAATACGTCAAGGCCGCGACGCGCCTCATCCCTTCCGAAAAACTGATACCAGCCGCTCTACACCTTCTCTAGACGGGACGGTCGCGTTACTAGCCTCCTCGGAACTCACTTTTGACTTCAAGCAGCAATCGCTGTGTTCGTCACATCGCCTGCTCCAACTTCAACAACAACAGCAACGGTCGATCAGGCCCTGAGGCGCGACACCGCCTGGCACCGAGCAATCAATTGTGAGACAATCACCATGGACAAGCAGTACTCGACGCTCCTCTTCATGCGACGTTCTTAAAGTCTGGAAGTGGCAGTAGCGATGAGTGTTTCCTGCCTGCTACGGCGAGTTGGGATTGCACGTCATTGCCAGCTTCTTCTTCGTCGTCGTCGTCGTCACATTGTCCGAGAGCGCATGAATGAATGATCTCGTGCACTTGCCTCGTCCTCGATTAAACGGCGCCCCCTCGGCGAAGCTGGCCACAGGCTCGTGCGGGGCACGCCGACTGGGACGGGCTGGGTTTTATGTCGGTACATCCCCACCCGCGTTTTCCTGCCAGGTCGCTGTCGTTGGGTGGCAAAATTTTCATCTCATACTCAATCTTGGCCTGTAGAAACGAGTTTTTGATAAGAAAAGTATCAGTTATCCTCTCTCTCTCTCTCTCTCTCTCTCTCTCTTTTACTTTTAATTCCATTGTTTTTTTTCTATCTCTTTATTATTTGGTAAAATAGTGAGACTTTTGTGTACAATGAATCATATTTTGAAAATTACTTGAATGGAATTAATTGAGGAGTGATTACCTCATGCTATAATGAGCCTTGGTATTTAGGAATGCAAGATTTAAACTTTGCTCTTGTATGATTCTAAACCCCAAAGCTTAATTTATTTGAAGATACAAATAAACTTAAAGGAATCTTGTTTAAAAAAATGTATAACTTCAAAGTTAAGAATTATAATGTAACTATTGTTTTGAAAATAGGATATCAAAATAACAGTAACAATATATACACGTAATTTATTGGTATTTTCAATACCCACTATACAAACATAATGTATTGGTATTTTCAATACCCACTATACACACATAATGTATTGGTATTTTCCTAAGGTTATAATCTGCTAAAGTCTGACTTGAAATAATTATTGAAGGTCAAACAACTTATGCATAATCTATATACCAACTCTGATGGACAGTGCAATTCCAGTTGATCTATTGTAACCAGTATATTCAAACCATTCTTTCTTTTTAACCATTTTTCAAAACTCTGGATACTAATTTCAGTCTAGTTTTAAACTGCTACATCAATCTTTGGATTTTTATTTTGATTTTATTATTATTATTTAACATATATATATATACTTGCATTGAGAACACACACTTTTTCTTTTTTCTTTTTTCTTTTTTAATGCATGAATTTAATACAATAAATACTTCTAACTATTTCAAATTTATTTTTCACTGCAAATCTATATTGTTCAAATATAAAGATGTATACAAAGATTATTTTTAAAACCAAGTTTTAGAATATAAAATATAAATATTATAAAAGTTTTCTAATGGCATGCTTACAAATAGATAAGTGGAAAAAACTACATTATAATATTATTTACTTCTTCTTACAACACCTACATTATTAATATTTGAATTGAAATTTGAAGTAAATTACATTAATAGTCAAGTTTTAAAATTCACCATTCTTTGAATAGATAATTTTCAAGTATTTGGTACATATTAATACATCATTTTAAGTGCATATATTTTTTATTTTAATTCTATGAAAATTTATTCAACATGCTCATATACCATTGGCTATTAAAATGGCTTGATTATTTCTATAAAGTTAATTCTTGGAGTGAATTATATATATATATATATATATAATTTTAGATTCAATAGTTTTTTACAAGGTTAGCTATTAAAACAATAATTATAATATGATAAAAAATAAAATTGTATTATAAAGGATAAGCACTTACTTTTATAATTGTCTTATAAAGGATAAGCAATTATTAGGATGTCTTATAAAGGATAAGCACTTATTAGAATGTCACAAGTATAAGATATCCTAATAATTAATCTTATTTTACAATAAATCTTGTATAATACTATTCATATATTTTAATGTTTATAATTTAAGTTATTTAAATGATATCTATAATGCATATTTTAATTTCTATTTTAAGAAGTAATAAACATCTATAAATTAAATTTGTATTTTTAATACTATTTATTTCTTTAAAATAGATGTTGTTACAATTTAATCTATAACATATCTTTAAATTAACAAGTAAAATAAAAATAATAATAATAATCATCATTACTATCAAATGTGTGATTACTTTCAAAACAGATTAAAATTGAACTCTAATACACATGCAAAATTAACTTTTAATTAGATTAAAGTAATTATTCCTTCAATTTGATGAAAGAACTATATAAAATGCTTTGCATTCGTAAACCATGTATTAAAACCTACTCTAGAAATTTCTTCTCTATTGTATATATCAAATTGTTCAATATAATTACTAATAATATTTTGGTAATTAATTTTTTTATATTGATATTAACATTAATATAAAGAAATATTTTCAAGAAATTACATATGTTTATGAAATAAAATTCCACTATTGTGATTATTTGGTATATATTTGTATATATAAAGGATGATTAGTTGCCAAGAATAGTTAAATAATTGTGACATTCTAAAACATGCAATTTACACAACTTGATATTATATATATATATATATATATATATATATATCTACACACACACAAATGGATGCTTGTGTACATAAGACACCTAATATGTCTGTTGTTTTCAAGAGTAATGTTAACTTTTACATAGTTAATTTAACCTTCTTAGGACTTAAGCCACTTTTTCAGAAGAATGTTTATTTCAAATTAACATTTTTTAAAATTCAATGAGATAGTTCATTTAAAAAAACAAGTGAAATTCTCAAAGTTTTCCTTATATTGATTCATGAGATTAGCCCAACAATTAAATTGCTTAGAACACCAACAGACAAATAATTATATGATACTACAAAGAATTAGATTGAAGAACTGATTCTGAATTTCCTCTCACAAAGAAATCACATTTCCTGCTATTAAAAAATACAGCAAGACCACATCACACTTTAATATAACATGTCTAATCATTTTGTGCTAAATAATAAACATATAAACAAAAAAAAAAACTTTTTCAATTCAAATTCAAACAAGAAAAGGAACTTTGTATCACACTAAATCTTGTTCTTTTATTTCTCATATTTATATATATATATATATATATATAAAAATTAAAGTAGAAATTTGTGCCATTAGGCACCGCAATTTTTAGCTCATCCATCTATTCCCTTGTTCATCCAAGTTCCCCCATTCTCATGTTCTTATGTTCAACCAATAAGAAGGCTTTGTTGTCTCTTTGTCGTATACCCAAGCTGTTTTATGTAATAAATCAATAAATATAGAATATATCTATACTTTTGTACACATCTACATTTAAATCTAAATATTTTTAAACATGGAGCTAAAATGGGTTCTGACGAAGACATAATTTCACAACTGCCACACCTGATTAGACGTATACGAATACTAATAATAGCATGAAAAGCAAAACGAGATAACGTTATCAATGGAAGATTCTAGAGGACCCACCTGGCAACTCCTTTCGCAAAGGATTCGAACGTCGAAGCCCGAAACCGTCCGAGAAGGCCACGTGGATCAGAGTCAGGGCTGACTTAGCATGCCACTGGGACGCCTATCAGGACCTCGAACGAGCCCTCGCCCGGGTGCGACGGTGTTTGCGGACCCACCGGAATCTGCAAATTCGAATCCGGCTGCCGTACTTGGTATCATTTGGCGCGATTGCGGTAAGACGATGCGAAGCGAAGCGGATCCCCTTGGCCCTTTTTTGTGGGTGTGCTTGGATTGCAATTCTGTGCGTTTTGTGCCTTCATTGCTCTGGAGAGGTTCGGTTCAACAGCATTGATTCGCTTGGATCGTTTTTTCTTTTGTTGCTGCTGAGTGTAGGTGTCGATTTTTGGATTTAAACGATGGATGCATTGGAGCGTCGGAGAATGGAGTGCATTGAAGCGGGCGCTTGCGACGCACGCTGTTGTTTCTGAGGTGGGTTTCCGGTTATTACCCTAGATGTGGTCTGATTCTTGCAATTGGCATCGTTGGATGAATGACAACTGAGACGAGGCTATTAACTCGGTGATGGCAAGAGAAAACTCGCTTGTGCGAGCTCAGTCGCATTCGTTTGCAATTTGAGATGCTTCTCTTCTTGGTGACGACCTACTTCCAGGAGGTTGGTGCATGGAGGGAAGGTTAGCACCATGCAGTCACCGCATATTGCGTAGACAAAGCATCCAGGATGGTTAAAGTTAAAATGGATTTTGGACATGGTGACCAGTGTTATTTGAATAGATGCCAATTCGAATGAATATCTATTTTTTTTCATCCTTTCATCTGCTTTAATTTTTAATGTTAGTGTTATTCCTTACTTGTGTTTTTTGTTTTGTTTTTTCAAAGAATCCGTTCAATTTGCCATCTCTAAAAAATATGTCTCAATTTCATCAGTGATCAATTCATGCGTAGAATAATTATCCTTTCGTGTCTTGCTTCTATATAAGATCTTTTAAGTATTTTGAGCGAGGTTATTCTGCGGTACCTCGATCATGTTTTCGTGGCTCTTGGATATATTTAACCAACACATAGACTGTTGTTGTATCTTCTGATACAGTCATTTTTTTCTAATTTTGAGTTGGAACACAAGTGAAGGCATGTTATCTCATGGGTTGATGATCCTCGTTGGAATTTCAGAGGTGCAACCACTTCGTATTTCTTACCCCCATGTTTGTGTTATCAGCAGGTTGGTGGAGCTGGCGAGATAGTTTGTCTCTAATCAATAAGAGTATAAGGGTGTATTGCAAAGTTGTACCAATAAAAAGGAAGCGTCTTTGAAAGGTGGCGATGGAGAGTATTAGTTCCGAAGGTGATGCAGTGATAGATGGGCTGGGGCCAGATGATGAGATGATTGGGAACAACTCTTCTAACCTTCACAAGCGTAAACCGGACAGTGGACTGGGGCCTGATGGAGGAGCTAGCGGAGGAGCGACCCCTGTTGCAATCCCGAAAAGTCTGGGATACCGCCGTGGCTCTTGCCGTATCGTACCGATGGTCAATTCGCTGAGGTATGCCGATCTTTCTGAAAAGCAAAAGGAAGAGATAAAATTCCCGCCACGGACATTTGATTATCTGCGAGATGACATAAGACAAAACATTATTGACTTGATCAACTTCAAGATCTTGAAACAGAAGACTGATGAAGTCAACAGAGTCTCATGATGTCACAAGTTAGGAATTAACTGCAATAGTCAGAACGTTATAGGTGGTTTAACGCTATCATTCTCAGTGTACCGAGGTTGTTTCTGAGGTACAAAGCCGGTCCAAAATAAATTTCTTATCAAATATTGCTAGGATCAGTGAACCCCCTGTTTAGCAACTTGATAAACTTCAAGGATGCTGGAGTCGAGGAATCCTGCTGGTTGTGCACATCCCCTGACAGAATTGGAGCATGTTGAAATTGAACTTCAAATGATTTCTGTCGGTGCATGTCCCTTGTTGGTGATGCTGCCATCCTTTTTGCTCCAAGAATCGATTCTTACCTCGATTTTGTTTTAGTTAGAATTGATGCCTTCAAGTTATTTGTGAATACTGTAATGTGTCTGATGACAAAAATTTGTGCACAAGGTCATCACAAGAAGCCGGCGGCCATACTTCAAACGGGTAGGGTGCCTAATCCTCCAGAAATCCTACTGCACTCGGAGTTGAAATATAAGACAATTTATCACTCACAAGTCTCCCTATCTCCTGAGATCACCTTTCAGTTTCAAAGTCTTTGGTCACTGGGGTCAATTGCAACCAATCCAAAGTTGTATGACGAGGAACTGACCTTCCATGAGCAATCCCAAGCTTTGAACATTGTGAAAAACTTGGTCACTCTGGGGTTGCAGATGTGAGTAATTTCTCATGGTTTAAAGAGCTCTCCTACATATGAAATACTTGACTAATTATAGTCCCTTCTCTCACCCCATACACGAACACTCATAGAATTGAAACATGCCATAAAATTATTCACAGAATTTTAGTATAAATTTGTATACATCAATAATAGACCTTAGTGTTGTAGTGATGACTGTTGAGAGCATTTAAATGCTTTCAATAATAAAATGTATTGTATTGTCTCACAACTATGATTATGTCGACAAATCATCTATGAAGAAGAAATGATTGACAAAACTCTTTCTACATTTCTTCCCTTATTTGCTTTGCTTGCATGACAATATAGAAATATTAAATTTCAAAGTCATCCTAATCTCATGTCCTATTTACTTTTCATGGAGAAACAAAATGAGATACTCTTGTGCAATGTAGAAGCTCCTCCCATTGGAACCACGATTCCTGAATCTCATGCATTTAATATTCTAAAGTCTAAAAAACAATTATATAAACATGGAAAAAATGCTCATAGGCACCAAGTTAGTCATGGTTGTGATCATTTTTGTCCATATGGAAAGAATAAATGTTCTACAACTAATTATAGTAGAAAACAAAAATTAGAGATGTATTCTTGACATAAATGTAGAATGATTGGATATTTGGCACATGCGTATTGTACTTTATAATACTTTATTAAAATATTCTAAAAAAATAAGAAACTTCGAGCTGAGGCTCATGTAGTTCGTACCATGGATGCGTTCATGGATTCTATTGGTATTGATGTTTTAGAGGCTTATATGAATGACAAAACCTCTAATAATGAATCACATGATGTGCTCATTGATTCTACAGCAGCACATATTATCCTATGGGATAGATAGTTTTTTATTGAAAAATCTTCAACTTTGCAAACTAAAAATTTGATGACTATGGTTGGAACAAATGTGTTCTAATTTTAAGAGGAAATAATAATGGTAAATTGTGTGCGAGCTCTATCATAAAATATAAATATGCAATGTTTGTACCCTCAGTACATCAGAGTCTAATCAACTACCAAGATTTATGTGCCAATAGTTATCACCTTTCAACTGCAATTTTAGATATGCGAGAGGTTTTGGTTCTTGAACATAAACATAAAGTTGTAAAAAAAGCTTTTGTTGTGACAAATGGTTTATACAAGATTGCAATCCGACCTCTTATTATATTTAATTTTGCATCATCTATAACAGAGAGTCATATTTTTCTTTGGCATGGACAATTAGAATATCTAAAATCTATATTATTTTGAAAGATAATTCCATGAATAGCTGAGCATAATTTAAGATCTGTAAATATAAATTCTATAGAATTATATCGTGCATCTATGCAAGGCAAGATGATTGGTGAACCTTCAATTTGGAAACTCCTACAAGAATTACCACCAATGCTTGAAAGGTTGCATGGTGATATTTGTGGTCCTATTAATCTAATATCTGGACTATTTCATTATTTTTTGGTTTTTGTTGATGCATTATGCAAACAATCACATGTTTCATTATTATCATCTCAAAATATGATATTTGCTAATCTTATATTTATGCTTATTTTTTTTCGACCACATTTTCCTTATTATCATATCAAAACATTGTGTATGGATAATGCAAAAGAATTTGCATCAAAATCCTTTGAACATTATTGTACTACAACGTGGATTAAGTTGACATATAGTATTCCATATGAACATGCTCAAAATGGACTTGTAGAGTTGTTTATAAAGCATATACAATTCATTATCCGACCACTCCTTCTTCATACAAATTTATATGTATCTATGTGGAGTCATGCAATTTTGCATGTTGCAGCATTAATATGCATTCGTCCTTCTTTTCTTGAAATTATTACACAACAAGAGTTTATTTCAGGTTCTGTTCTAAATGTATCTCATCTATGGGTGTTTGGTTGTCGTACTTGGATTCTAGTATGAGAACGTCAACAGCTTACCATTGGAGCTCATTGGCGAGAAGGCACATATGTTGGTTTTGATTCACCAAACATTATTTGTATACATGATCCATCAACTGGCACATTATTACATACATATTTTTAAAATTATTGTTTTGAAGAGAACATATTTTCATCTCTTTAAGGAGAAGTATTTAATCAACAAAGAAATACAATACTTGCATTTGGAGTACTAGAAATATTTACAATAAATCTTAATCCTAGAACATCTTTGGCTGAAAATAAAGTTGCCAAGATTTTGTATCTAAGACAGATTGCAAATGAAACATGTGATGGCTTCAATGATGTACCTCAGATACAAGAGTTCTAATTAATAAGGCTTAGAATGAATCCATGCAGATTGCAATGCCACTAACAAATATACCTCAGGTTAAAACATTAGCAATTAAAAGGACTTGTGGATCAGATAAGCAAGCATGAAAGAAGAAAGCTATAACATGTGGTGATTTTGGTGTTGTTTTTGTGGAAGGTCCTACTAAACTTAGCGAACCATCAATTAATGTCAATATGTCCATGCACATTATATCTTCACTTGCATAAAAAGAAATTCTAGGATATATCTTTTCTAGAAATATGCTTCTTTGCATAAAAAGAAATTCTTTGATCCAATTGTGGACACTCTTACTCCTTGCCGTATGGGATATAAGATGGTATTAATATACAAGCGAGATGCTAAGGGTAAAATAATCTGTTATAAAGTTTGTCTTGTTGCTTAAGGATTTACCGAACAGTTTGGCATTAATTATGAATCCACATATTCTCCAATCATGGATTCAATTACATTCTAATATATTATTGGAATAGTAATTCATGCCACGCTTGAGATAAATCTCATGCATGTCGTAACTACGTATTTGTATGGTTTACTTGATGTAGATATTTATATGAAAGTTCCACGTGGTTTGGAAATAAGAATTCTAAATGCATTTACTCTAAGACGATATTATAGTATTAAATTATACAAGGCCATGTATGATCTAAAATAATCTAGATGCATGTGGTATCAATGTCTCCAAGATTATTTAATTATAAATAAATTTGTAAGTGATCAATTAATCCCTTGTTTATTTTTCAAATAAGATAAAATTGGTTTTCTGATCATCGTTGTATATGTTGATGATCTTAACCTAGTAGATATTAGATTTACATACATTGTAGCTATTAACCTATTTATACGTGAATTTGAAATGAAAATGTTAAGAAAAACAACTTTTTGTATTGATCTTTAGATTATGCATCTCACAGATGGTAGCATTTTTCTCTACCAACTAACGTATATTAGACAAATCTTATAGAGATTCAATATGATTGATGCTTATTCATTGTCTACACCAATGGTTGAGTGTGGTCATGATGGTCATGATCCATACCATCTATGCAAAGAGGATGAAGAAATATTGGGAGAACAATATTCATACTTTGTAGCAATTGGAGCACTTTTATATTTAGCCACATCTACGAAACTAGATGTTATATTTATAATTAGTATTCTTGCAAGATATAATGTACATTCAATAGTACGATATTGGAATGACATCAAATATTTACTATGTTATTTAAAAGACACCAAAGATTTGAGATTATATTGTATACAATGTGTAGATTCAAAATTAGTTGGATATTATGATGTAAGATATAAATTTGATATTAAAACAACTAAATTTCAAATGAGTTATATATTCTTAAGACATAGAGCTGCAATATCATGAAAATAAATGAAACAAACAATAATTATAACTTCATCCAACTATGTAAAAATTATTGCCTTACATGAAGAATCTTGGGAATGTATTTGATTGCAACAAATTGATAAACTCATTCCGACAACCTGTCGACTTTCATATAATGATTCTCTAATTATCTTGTATGAAGATAATAGCACTTGTCTTGTACAAATGTAAATTGGTTTCAGTTAAGGAGATATGACAAAGCATATTGATCCAAAGTATTTTAGTTATATCTATGACTTGGTTACTAATCAAGTACTTAAGATCAAGAAAATTGAATCTGTAAATAACCTTGGTGATCTCTTTATCAAAGCTCTCTTGTTGTCAAACCATTGTCAACTTACTTATGACATTCGTATATGACGACTTGCTTTTCTTGAGTAAGAAAGTTAATAAACTCTTTAGATAATGTTGTACTCTTTTTCTTTTATCTATGGTTTTTTCCTTAAATATAATAAGGTTTTCCTAGATAAGGTTTTAATGAGGCAACAATTTTTGATCTTATGAGATTACACAAAATTATAGGTTATAATTCTATGCATATAAATATTATGACAAGCAAGGAGGAGTATTGAGAGCATTAAATGTAGTTGGAGTTCTCCATATTATTTATTGTAGTCTATAGTATTTATTGTAGGTATATTGTTTGGAATGTATTGGAAAACTTTATTTATCTTCTTTCTTTTTTTTTGTATAAGAAATATAATCCTATTAATAAACTCACTTCTTGTGTGTGTTTACATATGTATTCATATTACTTCTAACTCCTATTGTCTCTCTTTCTCTAAAATATTCTCAACAACGACAAATGATATTTGATAAACAATGATTTGAAAACTCAATTCTAAATAAAGACCTTGTATCCAAAGTCTATTAATTAATTTGAGGTCTAGTAATATACATGCAAAGGTCATAATAGGATGTCCTTTGTCATCAACAGACATAACTTGCACAAGAGCATTTTTAGACTTATGCTTCATAATTACCACTGTATGATTGTTTTTTGTTTTATTAATTAAAGACTTAATTCTATCATTATAGGTTTCTTATACTTGAGAAGTGTAATCCATTCATGTGTACTTTTTTTTTAAGGATTTTTTGCAATTTCAAGAATACAACAGGATCCTTAATTTAGTCCTAAAGACTTGTGGGGCATCAATAGTAGAGAGTGAAATATAGAACAATTTTTTCTTTTCAAGCCTTAGAGTTATTTATTTATTTATTTATTATTATTTTATTTTATTTTCTTATTTGTGATTGATAATGTATAAAATTTTAATGGAATAATAGAATTTAATTCATAAATTTTAAAGTAGTGAAGGCATTTCCATCCAATCTTCTACATATTTTAGTTAAATTGTAGTAATAACATAATAGAAAACAAATATTTCATTGGTTCACAGAAGCCATACCAACTCAATCTATCTTACAACCTTATTGATTCTAAGGGATAGTTTGCAATTATTTTCAATGCCTTTATGTTGTTACAATGCTTTGATAGTAAAAATATCTATATAGCTTAGATGTTATTGCATTTATTCCAAAATAGTAGAATATAATTGAAAATAATAAATATAATAAAAATACTATTTAAAAAATACTTCTTAGTATAGACAATTATAATTCATTACAAACCTTTGATACAACTAATTTACTTAAAATAAATAAATAAATAAATAAAATAGACATAATATATTATAATAATAATATGATTATACAAAATCAAGTGAGATACATATGTGATAGCACTTGCGTCATTTATGATGATTTGTAATATTAAGATCATCATGTTAAAGAGAATTTATATTGAGAGGTGCATCCAAAGAAATAATTATAAGTAGAGACACAAATTGAAAATAATTACAAAGACATGCATAATTTGTCATTGTTGCTTCTCACATGTAGAGCTCATGAATACCAAAGGTCACCAAGTATTATTACCTTCTTGATCTTAAAAAATTTCATTATACTTGGCATCATTGATTGCATGTATGTAAATTGTGACCCTTTTTGCCACATTTTGAGCACCTAATTTGATTTTCCAAGTAGGTTTTATCACGTTTGCATAGGCAAATTTTCCATGGTTGTCATGCTTGTTTTATTTTAAGCAAAGGCAGCAAGATACTATAAGCTACCATTGTTCTTCTATTGATGGAGATAACAACACTAGTATAAACTAGCTCACTTGTGGTATACAAAAAATGCATGAACAATTCGAAGTTTGGCATAGATTCACTACACCTTTGTAGGCATGAACATAAGATACTTGACATTGTTAGAAGTTGCCACAAGAATATATGTAGTTCTTTAATTTGACAATGCCAAAAACTTTACTGTCTTAGTTGATGACCTCAAAGAGAGTATCATCTTTTTGTATGACCTAACAAGTTCATCCTTCAATTACACACCTCTATACATTTGAGATGATTTAAAAAAAATACTTATTAGAATGGCTGCATAATTTAAATGTCAATTGTAGAAAAGGCATCCAATTTTTTAAATAACCTAAAAAATGACATCAAAAGGTTCCATGTGGCATTTATCAAAGATCCATGAATTTATTGCTATTGATATGTTTGAAATAAGAACTCTAAATCATGATGAACTATTCAAACGAGATTGGATTATGTCTAAGATCTAAGATCCTTCTAATCCATAGCAATATAAATTTTGTCACAATGTAGGACAACATAGACTAGAACAAAATTGAATAAAACTAAATAGAATGGAATGTAAAAGGCATAATAGAGTAAAAGAGAATAAAATAGAATTGAACAAAAAAGTGCAAAACCAAATTTTACTTAAAGAAAGGAACCAAAGCCATACTTAACCAACTATTCTAATGGCCTTGGCAAGTCCTATTTATAATTTATCTAAGCATCCTAAAACTTTTTAGAATGTTCTTAATGGAGGATCCCATATAAATAACCACCTTAAGCCCTTTCTAGAATGTTCTATGATAAGTCCCACATAAACGATTAATTTAGCCCTAATTCTAAAAAATTCTAAAAAGTTCTAGAAACTTCCTAAATATGGCTCCAACTTCCTATCTCTATGTGTTGATAATACCAATATCTTCTTCATACTGTATTACATCTATTATAACCAAGGATTTAGTTTTGACTTTGAATAACAACAAGATATTTATGTATAGTAGTATGCATCTTGAAGATATCTACTTTTGCAACTACATGGGTGTCTAAGATCAATGCCTTTGCAGTTGTCTACAACTTCACATTCAACTTAGTTTTGTAGTGCCAATTTATGTTCTCTTTGATGTGCCAAATGTCTGCACAATGGTTTTTAAAATGGAAGGTTTGCAACAATTCCATTTTGAATTCCTTGGACATATCATTGTTATCAATGCAAAATTGAATGCAAAATCAAATATAAAATTAAACATCAAAACTTTACACACCTTCTTGCAATCACTACTAAATACAATGCTTGCAAAGTTTAAGAAAAATATCTTCTAAATAGTGAAAAAACCATGTCTAATTTTCATTATTTTCAATTGGAACAATCTTAAAAGCAATATGAACAAGGTAACCTTTTCTATGTACTCCATTGAGGCTAAGGTAGATACCTTGGTATCTTAACTTTGAATAGATTGCATTTGTAGTGAACACAAGGTTATAGCTTGCAGCTACAATCTTTCAAGCCTGAAGGCAAAGAAATGCTTTGACAAACTACTATCAATTATTCCTTGTCAAATGTAGTCATGCAACTAGGATTTTTTATAGCCAATCTCACAAGTAATGGCACAAGCTTTTGAAACCCCAAACTATATTCTTTTACCAAATGCTTTTGGTGCAACTCGCAACTCCTCCATGAAGCCATATATGTTACTTTTGCCCCAAGCTTGGTTTGGGCATGGTTTGTGACATTCAATGATCACAGACCTTGTATGTCCCACACAAATGATTCATAAAAATTTGCAAGCTCCTTGCCTTTAAGGTGAAAGGGTTTTAAAAAAGTCGGGCATGTCTACTGATGAGCAGCAAACTTGACAGCTTTGCACTGGCTGATTGCAACAAAGAATATGCACCTGCCATTTGTATTCTTGTATATTCCTCTCTCACTCTATTGAGCATACAATGCTCATGCATGCGGGTTTATTGGGTCTGAATTGATAAAGAGCAAAGACTTGGAAATAATAGCTTGCAAAAGTACCACGGGCATCTTTGGCTGCAGGGACCACTGTTCCAATAACTATTCTATTCCAAGTTGTCAGTGTCCAATCTCCTTGTCTTGCTGGTGACCTTCGTTTCCCTCAACTATGCGAAAGTGAAGCCAAGCAAATCAACGAAGATGTCTGAGTCTCTCTATAAATTCTATTTCCAATTTATGCCCTTGCTAGTAATTATATTTGTGCGTGCACCTCTCTTTGTACATATTTTTGATTTGTGCCCCTGCTTGTGATTATTTTTGCAAGTACGCCCCTCAATGTACATCGGCCTTATATCAATGCCATAAGCTGAAGGGGACAACGGCGCCAATTCTGAATCATCATGGCACTAAGATCCAGACAGGGCACGGTCGTGGTAAAAAGAGGGGTTCACATTGAAGTCACCCTGCCCTGGAATCGCAACGTCCAACACACCCCCCTGCTCAGAAGGCCCAACCATGAAGCCTCCTCCTCCTGCTCTTCAAGGTGCGTAACTCTCCTTCGCCCCATTGCGCCATGGATTGCATTCCTGTGTTGTTCCTTCAATCTTCAAACCCTAGAAACTTTTGTAATCGTCATCTCTCCTTTCGCTGCTGAACCTCCAGATGGTGTCGCTAATGACATGGAGAATAGCGAGGCCAGCGCTGCCGCTGTAAGAGATGTCCTTCGTGGACGTGGTGAGGAAAGCTCCGGGTCTTGCGAAACAGTTGCTAAAGCAGAGGAAGAATTGCAACCTTTGGATACTGCGAATGGAAACTATGCTTCTAGCAGTGCATTGGAGGAGAACCGGGCTTCATTGGCGCAAGCGTGGAGGCTCGGCACGCCGGCGAGGAAGAAGCTCTTGATCCTCGACTTGAACGGTATCTTGGTGGCCTGCCACAAGAAGTTAGACCGGAGCATTGGTGGGGATGAACTATGTATTCAAGCGGCCGTTCTGCATCGCCTTCATCGATTTTTGCTTCGAGAATTTCCACGTCGGCGTGTGGTCTTCCAGGATGGAGGCCAACGTGCGCAAGATCCTTGACTACATCGGTGAGGGTTTGCAGCACAAGGTAATGTTCGTCATGCATCAAGGCGATTGCACCGCCACGGGGTTTAAGAATCCTACGAACAGACGCCAGCCGCTGTTTCTGAAGGAGCTCGCGAAAGTTTGGTCGAGATTCCCTGACGGCGAATTTAATGAGACCAACACTCTCCTTATTGATGACACTCCCTATAAAGCGCTACTCAATCCTCCTCACACGGCAATTTTCTTGAAACCGTACACCTACAATGAGCAGGATAATTTCTTGGCAGAGGGATTGGTGGGGTATTTGACGCATCTGCGAAATGCGGCGGATGTGCGAGAGTTTGTGAGAATGCATCCGATTGGGATGCCGGCTATCGCTGCAGGGTGTATGCATTGGAATTTGTATCGAAGCGTTTTGGAGAAGATAAAAGAGGTCACAGATGCATCGACGCATAGGATCGCGTCGGGGAACTTGGAGCCACGGCCGCATTTCTCTTCCACGGCGGAGGCGTTGGTGTTGGAAGAGTCGGTGCGGAACCTTTCGCTTCATTAATTGCTGTGTGTTGCGAAACTAGCGATGACTCACTTGCTGGGCGAATAGTTCAAGGAAGGAAAAATGTAAAATCGTTATTTACCAGCAGTTACTGTGGGCTACATTTTGTATTATCGACAAGAAAATTAGAAACAATGCAAGAATACATGATGATAAAACACAAATTGTTCCGCTACCTTGCCAAATCAGTGTGAGCAATATTATAAATAATTCCAGCAATGGGTAATTACATATAGTGCTGATCACCATTTTTGTGTATTGCCAAAACACTTGTACATTGAAACAATTTACATTGAAATCTTGTGGTGACAACTAAGATTGTTATGCATTAAAGTTGGTAATGTCTAGAATTATATTGTTTAGGATGCCATTAATGACTTGTATCAACCCCAGTAACGTCTCTATTTATATATAATGAACCTTTTGAAGGACACACACACACATTACACACACACACACACATATATATATGTATATATATTCCATGTTAAGAAACCACTCGTATGTGCTTCCATAGCTCTTAGCTCTGTTTCTCTGGAAAAGGAGGTTGTAGTCAATTGTGAACTGGCGCATGTAGCCAGCAACACATGCACAACTACGTGGATAAGGGGGGCAGCTTCAATATCTTTGTAAGGCATTGTGAACCACTGCAGCAACAACATTCTTCAAGTGAATGCTCCTTAAGGCAGAAAAAGGATATAAAAGAACTCCATGTTCTGTGTATTAAACCTAAATACCTCCAGACTGATATCTGTTCAGCGCAGATAATGCACTGCTCTCGATTACAACAATGGCCCGCAAAGACGAGACATCTTCTCTGCCTTACCAATTCTTAAAGAGGCTGGAAAAACTCATTGCAAAAAAACGTGGAATGACAATAATTGAAGTGAGACATTCCCCACAATCTTCATACTGAGATTCAGTACTTTCCTTTCAAGTAACCAATGACGCTGTTGACATCCTTGTCACCACGACCACTGCAATTGAGGACCACTCGGGTACCGTCTTCAAGTGTAGGGCAAAGTTTTTCCAAGAAAGCTAGGGCATGAGATGTCTCCAGTGCCGGAATGATACCCTCCAGCTTGGACAACCTCTGGAATGCTGCATTGGCAACAAAAAAGAGCGACAGTACCGTTAGCAAGGTAGCTGATGAGAGAACACAAACTTGGAAGTGTTTATAACCCATACAGTGTCTCCATGATGAATGCCGCGGAACCTCTAAACTTTTGAGACTAATGATATGTAATCAGGAACTGCTGCAATTGACCTTACCTAGAAGCATGAGAAAGCTCAAAACAACGAGATGACGAATTTGAAGTGAAATTCTACTGCAGTGTTCTTCTTACCTTCCAGGGCTTCATCATCAGTCACGCTGAAGTACTCTGCTCGACCAACATCCTTCAGGAAACTGTGCTCTGGACCAACACCTGGGTAATCCAATCTGCGCACCACAGGCTCCCCATCAGTACCATGTTCTAGAACATTTGTTGCGTTATGAATGAAAAAGCTCGTTTGAACAAGCAGTTGGCCAAGCAGCCGAGTGAAAAAAAACACGCTGGTAACAAATCTCGGATTCAAATGAGAACACAATCCTTAGGTCTCTTCGAAGATGATTACCCCGCACTAATTGAATGTGGTTCAATAATCTGGCCATCAGCATCCTGGAGCAAATAGCTCATTGCACCATGTAAGATACCAATTTCTCCCATGGTCAAGGTGGCAGCGTGCTTGTCTGTATTAGTACCAAAGCCAGCTGCTTCAACACCAATGAGACGAGTTTCTTCATCTTCGATAAATTCGTGGAATAACCCCATTGCATTTGAGCCTCCCCCAACACAAGCGACAAGAATATCCGGCTTTCCACCCCACTTTTCCATTGCCTGGCGACGAACCTCAGTTCCGATCATTGCATGAAAGTCTCTCACGATCATAGGGTACGGGTGCGGCCCAGCAACTGAGCCAAGAATATAATGAGTCGTTTCCACATTCGTAACCCAGTCACGAATAGCCTCTGAGGTTGCATCTTTCAAGGTGGCAGTGCCAGAATTTACAGGACGAACCTGCATCAAAAAGGAAGAACCATCATGAGATTAGGGTTTAGGTAAACTGCATGCACTAAATAACCGCTCCATCTAACCATCAGGACCCACATTCTAAAGCACCCCAGTTGCATTCTGTGCCAATGTCTTTCTCACTTACTAAATTCTACTTGCTTCTTAAGTATTCACATTCGAGCTCACTTGCAGGGTCATGCAATTCCATACCTCAGCTCCAAGAAGACGCATTCGGAATACATTCAAAGCTTGTCTTTCCATATCCTGGGCACCCATGTATACAATGCACTCGAGTCCAAAGCGAGCACATACTGTAGCTGTGGCAACACCGTGCTGACCTGCCCCTGTCTCAGCAATAATGCGCTTCTTTCCAATCCGCTTCGCCAACAAAGCTTGGGCAATGGCGTTGTTGATCTTGTGAGCGCCAGTGTGGTTAAGGTCCTCCCGCTTAAGATAAATCAAGGGACCTTTCCCGTCACGCTTATAGTGCTCAGTTAGGCGTTCAGCAAAGTACAGAGGGGTTTCCCTGCCCACGTAGTCCTTAAGCACGCCATTAAGCTCCTTCTGTAAAACGCTAAGACAATCATATTAGCTCGGCCCTCAGCATCCATGCAATTTACTCAGGATTACAATTCCGCTTTAGAAAAGCACTCCGCAAATCCGCTCGGGAGTGAGGTAACATTTATCACCTGGAATTCGGGATCCTTGATTGTTGCACGATATGCTACCTCCAGATTACTAAGAGCAGCCATAAGGGTCTCAGGGACGTATTTCCCTCCATAGACACCATATCTCCCAAAGGAGTCAGGACGTTCATAGCCTTTGTAGGTTCGGACATCATCTCGATCCCTGGTATGCACATCCTCCGCAAGGGTGCAGCGCACATGGCCATGAGAAACTGAAGCTCCCTTCCTAAGAGGCGAGTCGCATGTAAACACGCACGCAGTCCCGTTCAGAGAAGAATACAAAGCATTAATCTTTGAGTGCCTCGCATCCTTCAATGCCGAGGGTTTGAGTACAGCTTGACATGAAGCGATGGGGCTGGTGGCTTGAGCTGGTGCCAATGCCGCCATAGCCATAGCAGAGGAGGCGATTCCAATTAGCTGTAACATCATTCAAGTACATGAGAAGTTAAAATTGATCTCAACTCGAGAGAAAGCTTGCAGACAAGCGACATGGAAGGGGACAAGAGATCAGGGCAGAGAGCCTCTACCAGCGCCAACAGAGACGGCGAATTGCAATGAAAAGAACTAAAATGAGAATATGTAGGTTCTAAATACAAACGTTTAGCTGAGGAAAATTAGACCAACTTTCCAAGAGGACTGTGGAGATTCAGAGATTTAATGCAGGTCATGCGCAGAGCAAATGAACTCTGTAGCAGAAGACTCCACCTACCATCGGGCAGATACATTTTGAGAAATTTTCGAGCAAGAATTTGTAACAAATGCTCACAGTCGAAAGAAATGTAGGATAATTCAGAAATTATCCTGAAATGCAGAATCAGACCAATATCATTCAGAAGCCAACACAAATGCTTATTTAAGACCACCGTAACAATCACCACCGCGAAAAATGTAGAATACCTGGATACCCTATACCAGCATTCGACAAGGCAGAGCGAGAAGGATCATAACCGACCTTAGAGAGAGTAAACAAAAAGAAGAAGATGGAGAAAATCTAGCTAAGAACTAGAGAACACATCACACAATGCGTGATCACCACCACGGTGACGCACTCGTGTTGTTAAAAAAAAAAAAAAACCCATACAAATCACAAGTCTCGGCACAAAAGATGGTGAAAGATGAGACGGGGGCAGTAGTAGGAACGAAAACCTTAAAGAGAGAGTTCTACAAGATCACACAGCGGCGGAAGCCGAACGAATTGCTTAAACCTCTACAACACAAGAATACTGCACAGCGGCGCAACCCACCTCTTTGAGAGCTCTTGAAACTTGCAAACAAGCGCAAGGACAATGTTCTTAGGGGCCTATCCAACTTAAATAGCTTCCCTATGGAAGAGGGGATGGTGGTAGGAAAAAACAGAGCTACGAGAATTGGAATGAGTCTGGAGCGAGATGTTCCAGTGCAAGCACCGCGACTGAATTTGCAGGGTGGCGGACGCATAAACGTGGACCCTCGTCACTACGTCAATTGACGGCTGGGATATCTCGAGCTAGTCGATTGAGTTGGGAGGTTTGAGACGCGTGGTGACGAGGGTCGCTACGAGATAGCCTCTCTTCCGAGTGTGACCCAACTCCGCGGGTCTCGGCAAGAGTGTACGAGTTTCATCCGCAAGGGACTGTCTCTTCTTTTTCAATTAAGAAATACGATTTTCCAAAATTGCTGAGATAATTGATTATCTCAAAACCCTCGCCGCATCGTGATGACGAGTCGAAAGGAGCAGAGCTGTACAGTTGATCTGTTGTTGTATTTTGAAATCAGATTGGCGGCATAGTTTCGCTGGTAAGCAGTTTGAGAAAGACTCTCATGTGTGGAGACTCGATCAATGTCGAACCGTGCAAACTCAGATGGATTCTGAGTTGTTTTTTTCGAAATTGAGGATGAAGGAGAATCTCGTTTCCATCCCCGGCGATGCCTTAGCTTCATTGGACATGAGATGTCCGCTTGGTTTCTGAAGCATTGTGGACTCTAGAAAGAGCCATCATTTCGATTCTCTAGGGTTTTGCATCTACCGAAGGTCTCGGTGGGTTGCCGTAATTGAGTTCTGGAAGTAGGGCAGTGGTGAGTTGCCTTGTGAGCCAGAGGTTTCATTCTAATTGTGCACCCGATATGAAAGGTTGGCGAGCTTTCCTGGTTTGTAAAGATGAAGGTTAAACGTGGGTATGTTCGGAGAAAGCATCTGTGTGAAGTACCCTTGACGAGGGTGAGTGTCGTTGGCATTGTTGCAACGCCATGCTCCATGTCATGAGCTGGAATAGAGTGTTCTGATGTTTTCGTCTGGCGCTTTAGTTTACTTCGGCTTATTTTGAGGTTGGCAGTTGAGCTTCCATAATGTGATCCAGCAGAGAGTTGTGCCGCTTTCACAATTTGCGATGGACGTCACAAACGGGGGACCAGGGCAGCCTCTGGATTGGCTCCCTTCAGGTCTGACAGCTTTGATACTGTCGCCTGAAAGAGCAGACTCTCTTCCTGTGCAGCTCAAGGCATTCGGCTTGACCCAAGCGATGAAGTCGCTCCTCTCATTGAAGAAGCCCCAGAAGGACTTCAGGAATGGTCCGGGTTCCTCTTTCGAATTCAACAGGAGTACCACTCTAGATGCTCTTCCAGACCTTGCCAAACCTCTCGGAGGAGCTGGGGCTTGTAGGTATGGCGGCGTCTCCATGCGTCTGGCAGGAATTCACTCAGCCTCAAATTCATGTCAATGTGAGGGCGAGGGGTGCTGTAAATTTATTCGCAACCATGATTTCTGTGGTTATGTATGTTCAGAGTGCGTGGTTTGTGACTCTTTCGTTTCTGAGGAAGACCTCGATCAGCGCTACTATGAGGCTTTCTACTGCCCAGAGGTTCGGTACCAATGGGGCTTCCCGTTGGCAGCGTCTGTCATGCTGAATGGCCCTAATGGAAGTATCTCTAAATGCGCTCCTGATGCATACTTTGAAGTGATAGAAGATTCCGGCTCACCGAAGATTCCAACCAAGATATGGTCCCACGTGCAGAAGTTTGGAGGTGCCAATCCTTTGGAAAGTCGAGCCGCATTCAAAAGTAAAGAATTTGCAGACAGTTTCAGTGGTAGCACTGGTGGAGTTGTAGAGGAAAACGTGACAGAAGAAGACGCTCGGGGTTTCAAAGGAACCACTGGGATTGGACCTTCAATGTGGTCCATCGACTCTGTTCCTGGTAGTAGAGATGCTGGGAAGGCTCCTATCAACTTTAATACTGAGATCAAAAAGCGATGCAAAGATCGGCAGTGTTTGGAGACTTCCATTCTCCACGATACGGCTGAAATCTTGCCTCAAATGATAGACAGAGTGACCCAAGTATCCAACCTCACTATCAAATCGCTGAAAAATTGTGTAGCCTTCAGTTTTGTGAGTGAAGCTGTCGCTGCTGTCAAATCCAGCCAGAATAGCGTCACTGCACTTAAGCATCACGACTGGTGGCCTTTTGCAGTTCAACCTGCAGTGGCAGCAGTGGAGAACGGGCTTGTCCCAACGGCAACAAATGCTATGATGGCGAACCATGGTGCGACGAAACGGAACCCTCGGATGGGGCAGAATGCAGGCGCTGGAGCATTGGCAGGTGGGGTTGTTAGCCTTTGCTTGCATCCCGTTGACACTTTGAAGACGCTTGTGCAAGCGCGGGCCGGTGGCAACCGCAACCTCCTTCCCATTATGTCTGCGGTTATCTCTGAAAGAGGTATGCATTTAAGTGTGACTGTTTCATAGCCCTTGCCTTTACATTTATCCAATGCGGTCAAGTTTATCGTTGTGGAGTTTCAGAGTTCTAAGTAGATCTTGCTTGAGTGAGGACGTCTTGCCTGCAGGTTTGAGAGGTTTGTACCGGGGCCTGGGAAGCAACTTAACCGTGTCAGCTCCAATCTCAGCTATCTACACGCTCACTTATGAAACCGTCAAAGCTGGTCTGCTCCGCCACATTCCAGAGGTACGGCTTTACTGATATTGGAACACATGAAGTGTGTTCTGAAGCTTCCGATCTTGCGGTGTGGTGTCATGTGTGTCTGGGGTGAGGTGTGGGAGGATTTCGATGGAATGTGTTGTGTAAAGGAGGGGGGCGCCATTGATGGCTGTGCGCCTTGATGTCAACTGAATGCAAACAGGATATGTCCGCACTGGCGCATTGCGTTGCTGGGGGATGTGCAAGTGTAGCCACCTCCTTCGTGTACACACCGAGTGACTGTGTGAAACAGCGGATGCAAGTGCACGGATTGTATGAAAATAGCTGGTACGGTTCAATATCCGGATGTTTCAAATTTGAAATGCTCGGGCTGGTGGGCTTGGCCATGTCGTTTTTGCACATAGTTTACATTAAATGTGGTTGAGATCTTCTGTCACGTGAGGAGTGTCCTCAAGGCTTCTCCAGCATCCTCGGGTCCGCATTTGCCTGAAATGTGAAGATTCCGAGTTATTGGTGTTGAGCAGTTGTTGTGGAATAACTCAGGGAAGCGTTCACTTCGATACTGAAAGAAGAAGGACTGCCGACGCTGTACAAGGGTTGGGGAGCAGTTCTTTGTCGCAATGTTCCGCAATCCGTGGTGAAGGTATGCATCTTCCAAGTGTCGAGGTAGGTATATAGGTTTTGCAAAAATGAGACAGGGTCGGGCAAAGCCGTTGGACGCGATTGGGTCGATGCGAGTAATGTTTGGCGGAGGATCTGTCTTTGTATCGAATGCGATGTGGGTGGCTTTCTGGTGTTGAATGTGGGGATTGCCTCTGGCGGTCCATTTGCATGGTAGTCACGACTTTTGGATTGGTGATGTGTGGAGATTCTGAAAAATAATGGGATGTGTTGTGGTGATTGCACAGTTCTACACTTATGAGGGGCTGAAGCGCTGCATTCAACGTGGCCAGCCTCGTGACACCCCTTTGAGCACACCACAAGCGGTATGTTTCGTCAGGTGTTGTTTTTGTTGTTGAGCTGCTGACTTAATGCCCGGTTACACGACATTGTTATGTGTCACTTCTGGGCTGACAAGGCAAAGTATGGAGTCCTGGTGGGGTGCTGACTCGTGTGAAATGAGGATGTGGTGTTACAGTGTGGAATGAGAGGAAGAAGATGATCTGTAACTTGGGTTTGTGGATGTGTAATTCCTGGCATATTCGCTCCTTGGTTTGCACATGATGAGGACGTGTATGTTTTATACTGACACGCTGGTTTTTGTGCAGCTGGTTATCGGCGGTGCTGCTGGCTCGACTGCTGCTTTATTCAGTACTCCTTTCGATGTTGTCAAGACTCGGCTGCAAACGCAGGTTTTGAGCTGGTTCTGGAATGACTTGTACTGTTTGTATTGTGCGTATTGAGATTCGTGGGTGTTCCATGAAAAGGGATTCTGTGTGCATTTGTTCTTTGTCGAGCACATGAGAGAGTCGGTGGTGAGTCTGTAGGATGTGACGAATAGGATGTAATCGGCTTGACTAATCTGATTTTGGGTGGACAGATACCTGGGACAGCTCAGCAGTACACTGGGGTTATTCACGTTTTCCAGAGCATTGTCACTACCGAGGGTGTCGCTGGATTATACCGGTGAGTTGTATGCGATTTTGTTGCAACTCTAGGTTTTTGAGACTTGAGATAGGTTGGACCTTTATTTTGGCGTCAACGACTTGTTTTTTTTTACATGCTTGCGATTTTTCTGAAATATGCACATTTGTCTCGGAAGTGCGTCCTCGATGTGCATGTTATAACGGGTTTAATTGCAAACCTCTGAGAAGCTGGACATCAGCAGGCATCGGTGCAATTGGCCAAGAGTGTTGGGGCATTGAAATGGAACTTAGAGCAAAGGTTTTACACACTTGCAGGGGACTAGTACCGCGGATATTGATATACATCACCCAGGGGGCACTTTTTTTCGCTTCATATGAGTTTATCAAGCGCGTCTTAGCAGTGAAAGTCCCGAGGCTTCTAGTGAAGACACCTCGGATGGAAGAGTACAAACGGCAGACAGCACCCGTTCCCACGAAGTATAGTTGAAACGGAGCTTTATAGTCTATATGCAGGAATGGATTGGGTTAGCATGTGAAAGCATGGCATGTCGAAGAGAAGTGCAAGAGTTGGAGAGCATGGAGACTAGAAAGTTGGCAGATGAAAAGATACCTCTGCATGAGTGACATTTATAGAATTCACGCGTGGTGGGGGGGCAGGATTTGTGGAGGACCTTGATAGACAGAAGGCAGTTGCACTTGGGTCTGAGTAGAGTCCCTTTTAGCCAACCACGTTGTTTATGTGAACACCACCGTGACTTTCCATAGATCTATTAAGGCACACATTGCAAACGGGATCGACAAGGAGGCGGTAGGCGCACAGGTTGCCATCATTCTCCATCGGTGGGTGTGTTCGAAAATGTATATCTTGTTGAAGCGTGCATGTACACTATCTTAGGAAAACCTTCAGTTATGTATGTTAAGGTTGTTGTGTCCAACACTTGCTCTGATATGCGAGGTCTGAAGCAGTCAGTTGGTTTAGTTTGTATTTCATATCAGGGTGGAAATGAGATGGTTATAGACAACAGATGACATATTAATATGTGAAATTATATTTTTGTGAAATCATGAGAAATAGTTGGAGAATCATTTTTGAGAATATATATATATATATATATATAGATATATATCTCCACAGCAATCACTTTTTGTTAAAACAAACCTTTGAGTTTTACTTCTAAATCATGTACATGTTTTTTTTAGAATAGATCAGATATAGATCAGGTATAGACATTTATTTGAATAAATAAGTAAATGTAACAAGGATTAGTTAGATAAAAACATCTTTACTTATAAACAATGAAATTGTTTTTGGATTAGATCTTTAGGAGTCATTAGCTACAACATTTGGTTATATAATTTTTATATAAAAATTAAATAGATTAGGGAGGTTTTATGGAAGTATCTTATAAATTTAGTTCTATGCATGCAAGTCTCATAGTCTATAATAAGCCCTAAAATTATTTTGACAACTTCATGTTTAGTAGATATATTCCTTTTTAATTTTATTTCTTCATTCTTATAGGTATATTAATATATCATATTTTAACAAATTTATCAAGATGTCATGGATATACATTTTTACTTAAGGTAAATGAATCATATAGAAGTGAGTAGAAGCAAATACATCTGATATTATCTAGTAGAGAAGCTTCTTAAGTGTATATTTGAATTGATATGTGTTTGTAGGTAGTTAATAGGTTGAAAATTTGGCCAACAATAGTTGGCCATGTGTTGCACTTATTAGTAACTTATGGTATAAGTTGACCATTTAGTACACATATATAAAACTTATCTTGCAAGGTAGATGCATGTTTTGTAAGTTGGACATCTGTTGGTCAAAGAATGTCACCACATAGCTTCTAATTAGATAGTATATGTAGATATAAGAGTGAAGCCTTCTATCTCTTGTCAATGCTTGCCTTGTTCTTAGTCTTGTTTTAAGAATCTAGTCTTTTTGTCTTTGGCAACAGCTATTCTAGTTTTAATATTAGACTATATTTGAGTGAATATCTATTCTTTTTGAATGAAACAATAGTATATTAATATTTTGGTTGTTTGTGATATATGATCTTGACACAAGGTCTATGTCATTAGCAATTACAAAAGACTAAAATATTTTGTATTAGAATAATTTTTTTCGATAAAAATTAGAATATTATATATATATATATATTATCAAAATAGTTTAAAGATTGGAAATAATTCTCTTTTAAACCAATATTATCTTTAGTGATTTATTTATTTAGAATTTATTGTTATCTAATTTTATTTGTTGTGTAAAATTTATATTATAATTATTCTATCTATTGAAGAAATATAAATATAATTAAAAATATGGACAACACATATAATAAAATGTAATAAAAATAAAGATAATAAAAATTTATACATACGAGGTTGCAACTATGAAAGTAGTTTTTTAGTTGATAATATATGTTAATAGTTAATAATTAAAATATACTTTGAAATATTTAGATTATTTAAAATAAGCCATAATTTTTTAAGTAGCTATTGCCAAGTAAAGTAATTTTATAAAGTGTTATATAAAGACTTGAGTACAAAAAGAAAGTTGGCTAGATAAAGAATGGTCTTTGTTTTGCTTATGTACAAACTTTCTAAAAAAAAAGATTGTATAGAAGATTTTATAATTTATATATATATATATATATATATATTTATATATAATTTTTTCTTAATGGTACTTTTTATTAAAAACACATATGCTTTTTTTTGGCATCACTAACCATACTTTAATAGCCTAAGGTCATCCCAAATCCATATCAAGTGGCTTTATAAGTTATAACAAATTCAAATTCTCTTCTTGACTTGAAACTTGTGTTTTTTTTTTATCACCACTCACATAGTCAATTTCTTAACAACTTTGATGCATTCTGCAACAAACAAGCATGTAAAGTTAGACCAGTACAGCTCAAACAATCATTCTTTCATTCACACGATTTGAAGATGTGACAAAACTAAATTCCTTTCTCATTGTAAAACTTACATTTTTATCACCAAGTTAAATTTGCAGCAACTCCAACACATCTCACAGAAAATAACCATCAAAAGTTAGTCAACGGTGGAACAAACATTCATTCAATCATGAAATTATAAGTTGTCACATACCCAAGTCCCCTTTCTTGCCCTAAAACTTGCATTTTTAATACCACCCACATGAGGAGAATTAGTTCGTGGGAGTGGTGAGAATCGACGCCATCTTCGTCGTCCATCGCCGACGGAGGAGCCTTTCTCTCACGAGACTCGGTCTCACTTACATCGCAGTCACTCAACATCGCATCGACCGACGCCACTCATATCGCTCGCATCACTTGATGCAGACAAGATCGTGTTGGCGGCAAATTAACATTGCGATCGTCTGCCCGTTTTTTAGTTCAACCCTTGTGAATTGCGCAATATGTGCGAGATTTTGAAGGGGGCATACTTGATGGGTGTAGCGCTCTAGCTGTCGATTGCTCGGAGGGTTAGGGTTGGTGACATGAAGTTGTGGGGTGAATGCAGCTGTAGAAGGGAAGGATTGGCAGCTTGAGGGTCTGGAAGGCGACGTGCGAAGTGTGAATTAGAGGGAGAGAGGAGGTGGGGGAGATTGAGAAAGCGTGGCCATGAGGGATGACGTTGCGTTGTCGTTCGATGGTGCGGATCCATACCGAAGAGGGGGGGAATATGAGAGGTTGGGGTGTGAGCGGAGTGCCTGCGGGGATGCCCAGGGGATCCTCATCCTTGCCTTTTCATGTCATTCGATTTAGGGGACGTGAGCGCGTCTGCCCCTCCCCGAATGAGCAGTATGGGTTACTCTGGTGGTGGATTCGGTGCCTTTGAAGATGAACCTCCACTTCTTGAAGGTTGGGACCTTTCAAGAAAATATAAAATTCTCTTGTTTACTTGTTGACCCTAATTGCTGAGTTCCGATTTACAAACTCCCTCTACAGTTTCCTAATCTTTGATCTAAATAGTCCCAGGCACGTATAGTGTAAACTCAGTGATTTTTTATTTTTATTTTTATTTTTTTCTGGGCAGAACTTGGGATCAGCATCCCTCAGATCACGGGAAGAACGCTCACTGTCCTGAACCCTTTCCAGATCAACCCAGACCCTCATGAGGATGCAGATCTATCAGGACCTATTATATTTTACATGTTGTTTGGCCTGTGCCAGCTTATAGGAGGTAAAGTGCACTTCGGGGTTATTTTAGGGTGGACCACGCTCGCATCTATATACCTGTACATAGTCTTCAATCTGTTGGCTGGGAAAAATGGGAGCCTCGACTTCTATCGATGTGTTAGCTTAGTGGGATATTGTCAAATTTTCATGGTTCTGCTGTCTGCGTTCTCTATCTTCCTCCCAAGGTGAGTCACCATTTCATCCCACTCTTAACTAAGGAGTAATGAAGAAAGTAAATAATCTGCAATTAATTAATTCGGTCGGTCAACAGTGTCGTTGGTTTGTTTTTGCGGGCTCTAGTTTGTTGGTATTGCTTTCGTGACGTGATTGTGGTCTTGTTTTTCACAAACTTATCATATTGACATATTTGGCCCAATAAGGCCAAGGCTCTTATCTCCTCGGTGCGCTGTGCAGGGGGTACTTAAATATGTCCTGGGGAGTTTAACAGTGTTATGGTGCACTCGATCATGTACAAGTCTGCTGGACGTTCTCGTGCCTCACGCAGAGGAACACAGGTCATTGGTGGCTTATCCCTGTGGCCTGATATACATCGCATTTTCTTTGCTTGTGATCTTTTAGGGCTAGCCCAACAAGCTCGACGAACAGTCCATTTTTTTTTAGCATGATAACACTGCTCTCTTTCAAAGCGTCCTCAGCTCCACTTGGGTGAACCTGTTAAGAATGTTTAGAAAGACACAAGAGTAATAGTAAGTCATACACACACGAGTAGTAGTAAGTCATACACACACAAGAGTAGTAGTAAGTCATACACACACAAGAGTAGTAGTAAGTCATACACACAAGAGGGTTTCTAAGGAGAGAGAGTTTCACACACACAAAAATCTATTGATCTGGTTGTATCTCGTACATAAGAAGAGAGAAGATAAGAGGATGAACAGTACTTCTCCATTAGACTCTAAATATTGTAGTCTATAGTAAATATTATGGAGAGTGTCGGCTACACTTAATGATCTCAACACTCCTCCTTGTTCATCATAATATTTACATAATATAAAATTTATATAGATTTATGATCTATACTTTTTTGTGATCTTTTAAGATGAAGAATTGTTGCCTCATTAAAACCTTATCTAACAAAACCTTATTTTATTTAAGGACAAAACCATAGATGAAGGAAAAAGAGTATAACATTATTTTCTTTAATTATTTAAAGAGCTCATTAACTTTCTTATTCAAGAAAAGCAAGTCGTCACATACCAATGCCATAAGTAAGTCGACGATGATTGCTTAATGGGAGAGCTTTGGTAAAGAGATCAGCAAGGTTATTTGTAGATTCAATTTTCTTAATTATAAGTGCTTGATCAGTAATCAAGTCATGAGTATAACTAAAATACTTTGGATCAATATGCTTTGTCCTATCACCTTTAATGAAACCAACTTGCATCTGTGCAAAACAAGCACTATTATCTTCATGCAAGATAGTTGGAGAATCATCATATGAAAATCCACAGGTTGTTTGAATAAATTTATTAATTGATCGCAACCAAATACATTCTCGGGATGCTTCATGTAAGGCAATAATTTCTGCATGGTTAGATGAAGTTGCAGTTATTGTTTGTTTCACTGATTTCCATGATATTGCAGCTCCATGTCTTAAAAATACATATCTTGTTTGAAATTTAGCTGTTGCAATATCATATTTATATCTTGCATCACAATATCCAACCAATTTTGGATCTGTAGATTTTGTGTAATATAATCCCAAGTCTTTAGTACCTTTTAAATAACGTAATAAATGTTTGATGCCATTTCAATGTCGTAGTCTTGGATGTGCACTATGTCTTGCAAGAACACTAACTGCAAATGTAATATCTGGTCTTATAAATGTAGTTAAATACAAAAGTGCTCCAACCGCTGCGAGGTATGGATATTGGTCTCCCAATATTTCCTCCTCCTCTTCGCATGGACGGTATGGATCATGACCATCACGACCACGTCCAACTATTAGTGTGGACAATGGATAAGCATCATTCATATTAAATCTTTGTAAAATTCGTCTAATATACGTTAATTGGTAGAGAAAAATGCTACCATCTGTAAGATGCATAATCTGAAGACCAATGCAGAAAGTTATTTTTTCTAGCATTTTCATCTCAAATTCACGTATAAGTAGGTTTGTAGTTGTAACACATGCAGATGTAGTGCCCTCTAGGTTAAGATCATCAACATATACAGCGATGATGTCAAGGACAAAGACTCGATGAGGAAAAATATACACCAAAAGGCTATCTCGATATAATAAGTCAAAATATAAACAAGTAGGTATATTAAAAGGAAACTGGAATGGCTATTGCCACAAGACAAGAAACTAAAGACTCTTGAACCTGGACTAGAAGCAAGAAAGGAGTTGACAAGAGTGAAGAAGCCTTCACTCTTGTCTCTATATATACTATCTAACTAGGGGCTACGTGGCGACGTTCTATAGGACCTCCAATATGAGTTGACTTTGTAGGACACATGCCTTGACTTACAAGGCAAGTTTTTCTACGTGTGGGCCACATAGTTAGCTTGATCTTCAAGCTAACAACATGTGTGGCATATGGCCAACTTGTTGACCACGTTTCTAATCCAAAAAGTCAATTAAAGACACCTATGAAGTCAAAGCAGCATCTAGGAAGTTTCTAGGAAGCTTCTATATTAAATATTATACAATTAACTTACTTTTATCTACTTTTACTTACTTCTACCTATTTCTATATGTAATTATTAGCTTACATGATTATGGCCGTGACATTACCCCCCCTTCTAGAGACGAGTTCCACGAGGAGCGGTCATCATATGTTGAGGAAATCTATGATGCGACGAATTGTATTCGCCACATACTCTGATCTCTGTTCTCTTCGAAGATGATTGATAGGTTTTCTCAACCATCGGTAGTGTCTCATACCAGGGCGGGAAGACCACCCAGTTATTTGAACATTATTGAGGCCTTCATAACTTCGTTTGAATAGAATATTCGGAACACCATCAGGAGTTGTTCCTACCTCTAGCAAAATCACCAAACATCGAGAGTCCCTTCCCAAATCGTGATACCAAACGCGTTGTATCTCACCATCTGTTCGAGGAAGAACATGTCGTTCTTGAAGATCTTCATCTCGATTGCGTCGTCTTGAAGGTTGTGACAATCGTAATGTCTCGTCCGGCAGGTCAGCAAACGAAGGTTCTTGAGTTGAATCTGCTGGTTGTTGGCTCTCCATCTAATTAGCGTCACAAATGCAAAGAAGTTACAAACAAGGATAGGAAATTGAATGTTGTCTTGCCTCAATCTTGTCTCTTTTATAAGAGAGATTTTCATCTTGGTTTTGATGGATGTCGTTGATGAAAAACTTTGACTTTAGTTGATGCATTTGCTAGATTCCTGGATGGCTCCCATGTGCGTTCACTAATATCATATCCGCGCCAATGAACAAGATATTCCAACTTATTTCGGCGCCGCCTTGAGTCTAATATCTCTTCCACCTCAAATTCTTCATTATTATCTACTTCTATAGGAGGCGGTGGCATTTGTCTTCTTCCTTGTATATCCACTGTCTTATATGGTTCAAGAAGAGATACGTGGAATACAGGATGGATCTTCATTGACTCTGGTAGATGTAACCGATATGCAACTGGGTTGATCTGTTCAGAAACAGAAAAGGGGCCAAGCCTACGATAGTCCAACTTGTCACAAGGTCGAGTAGTCTTGATATTGCGACGAAGTAGCCATACCTTATCACCGACGTTGATCTGTGGTTGCTCCTTACGATATAGATCTGCGTTTATCTTTTGTCGTTCTTGAGCTTCCTTCAATTGTGTCTTCATTATTGCATGTAACTCTGACAACCGATTTGCCATATCTTCTGCTGCAGGATTATCAACTTTTGAAAAATCAAAAGTATCAAGTCGTGGATGATAGCCATAATTGGCAAAGAAAGGTGTTTGTTGCGTGGAAGAATGTACCGTATTATTATAAGCAAACTCTGCCAATGGCAGAAGGGTTGTCCAATCATCTTGTTGGTAGTTGATAGTACACCTTAAATATTGCTCCAAGACTTGGTTTACGCGCTCTGTTTGTCCATCAGTTTGAGGATGAAAAGCCGAAGATAGTTTTATGTCCACTTTTAAAATCTTGAAAAGGGTCCTCCAAAATCTTGACACAAATTGAGTTCCCCTATCCGATATGATATCTTTAGGTAATCCATGATAGCGATAGATATTATCAATGAAAAGCTTAGCTGTTTCTTCACCTGTGATAGATTTTGTACATGGCACAAAATGTGCCATCTTGGTGAAACGATCTACTATCACAAATATAGAATCATAAGATCTTGAGCTTGGAAGATCTGTGATGAAATCCATAGAAACAGAAGACCATGGTTGTTCTGGTATAGGTAATGGCTGAAGAAGTCCGTAAGGTCGATGACGAGGAATTTTTGATCTTGAACAAATATCACATGATTGTACAAAGTCTTTGACTGACTTCCACATTTGTGGCCACCAAAAATCTCTTGATATGAGTTCCAAAGTCTTATTATATCCAAAGTGCCCTGCTGCTGGAAAGTCATGACGTGCTTGAAGAACACGTAAACGTGCTTCTCCTTCTGGAACATATAGGCGTCCTTCAAAATATAATAGATTATTCTTGAACTCAAACTTAGAAGGATCATGAGACTTGGAAGAATTATTCTCGATATCATAAACAAGAGGGTCTGAGGACATACTGGACTGGATTTGCTTGAGAAAAGTTGAATCAACAGTCAATGTTGATTTCATTGCTCGGAGATGAAATTGCTCCGGTTTCAAGAGGACCGTTCTTTGTTCCTCAAAAGCTGCATCTCCTTCTTTTGGTGCAAAATAAGAACGTCTAGATAGGGCATCGGATAAACCTTGTTGTTTTCCTGGCCGATAAGTGATAATGAACTCGAATCTTGACAAAGACATACTCCAACGAGCTTGACGACGATTCAACACGCGTGCTGACATGAAATACTGGAGGTTCTTGTGATCTGTATACACAGTAACTGGACTAGAAGCGCCTTCTAGATAATGACGCCATTCTTGAAAGGAATCCACGATCGCAAGAAGTTCTTTATCGTGGATCTCATAATTGATCTCGGCTGCTGAGAATTTTCTTGAATGAAAAGCTATTGGATGGAGTTTGTCATCTGTTCCCATTTGTGATAAAACTGCACCCAAGGCAAAATCTGATGCATCTGTTTCCATAAAAAATGCCTTGGAAAAGTCAACACGATATAAGACTGGTGCAGAGACAAACGATGTCTTCAAGGCTTCAAATGCTGCTTCCGCTTCTTGATTCCATTGAAATTTATCTTTACTAGTCAAGCGTGTAAGTGGAGCTGCAACTCGTGAGAAATCTTTGATGAAGATCCGATAGTAATTGGCAAATCCCAAGAAACATTGAACATCTCTTACTGTCCTTGGAATCTTCCAATCCACGATTGTTTGGACTTTCTTAGAATCCATCATGAGACCATCATTTGAAATGATGTATCCTAAAAAGTCAACTTGAGTAGTGTGAAATACACACTTTTCCATCTTGGCGTACAATCCTGCATCTCTGAGTTTTTGTAATACTTGACGAACATGTATTTCATGTTCTTCGACGTTCTTGGAATAGATCAGGATATC